TGCTGGTGACGGGGGTCGTTTCAGGGATGAGCGGTGTGTAACACTTGAGATTTAATTTAAATGGATTAATAGTATTACTCATACAAACAAGGTGCATCTCCTTTTAAGGGAGCTCATTAGCCAAGAACTCCAAAGTTAAGCGTGCTTGCACGAGAGTAGTCTTGGGATGGGTGACCCCCTGGGAAGTTTCTCAGGGCGCGCACGAGTGAAGACAAAGTGCGCGGAAAAGGCTAGTGGCGATTTGTGAGGACAGTACTAGAGGTCTGAAGTAACTACCTCGGGTCCTGCAGCACCAGGGTGTTACATGTGGTATCAGAGCAACCCTGCGACAGTGTGCTGATCCATTGGATATCGGGCGGGCACTTAGCAGGGGAAAAGATTCTGGGATATGATTGAGATTGGTTTATGGGCGCAATGAGAACGTTGCGTTCCTAAGTGGGGGTGATTGTAACACTTGAGATTTAATTTAAACGGATTAATAGTATTACTCATACAAACAAGGTGCATCTCCTTTTAAGGGAGCTCATTAGCCAAGAACTCCAAAGTTAAGCGTGCTTGCACGGGAGTAGTCTTGGGATGGGTGACCCCCTGGGAAGTTTCTCAGGGTGCACACGAGTGAGGACAAAATGCGCGGAAAAGGCTAGTGGCGGTTTGTGAGGATAGTACTAGAGGTCTGAAGTAACTACCACGGGTCCTGCAGCACCAGGGTGTTACACGGTGTGTATGGTATGACTTGAGAAATGACGGTGGGTTGTGACTCCCCGACGGGTGAGAGGCCCAATGTGAGAGAGATGGGCTCGGTGGTGACAATGGGTGCATCCGTCGCCGCCGGAGTGGATTCCAAATCAAGCCTTGTAACTACGGGCATGAGATCGTTTCTTCGGTTACCCCTGGAATTGGATGTGATCGAAACTGCCGACTGAACTTGGGACCGGAGCAGATCGTTTTCTCGCTGGAGATGTGAAATCCTCTCCGCCAATTCCTGACGTAATTCTGCTCGAACTGCCTCCATTTGAGCGTGGACTTCCTCTAACAAAGTGTTGTTTCCGGCCATGCTTGATGATCTTTCTCTTGCACGATGCCCCACGGTGGGCGCCAAATTGTTTAAGCAAGAATTAACAATCAAATTATATGGAAAGGGAATCGTGCAAGGAATCTATTGAAGAACAAATAGATACAAATTTATATTGATATTCGATGTTTAATTGTGAATACAAGAGATAATAGTAGGCTGTTTGATCAAAATTGATCATGCCTTTTCTTTCTTCCTTAAGCTATTTATATTTTTTCCAACTCTACTACCTAACGTGGGCTCCGGATTCCTCGACGAAATCTCATCCAGCCTACTAATGTGGAGTTCGTTCCTTGACTTCCTCCACCAGCCATCAGCATTCTTATCTGTTCCGTCACATGATTAATTGAACTGGACTCTCTAATATGGACTGGCCGTCCTTTGATGTTAACAAAATCCCTACAGCAACGTGGGCCGGTCCGCTGACAAATCCAGGCCCAACATAGTGTACTCTTTACTCCACCTCATTCAATAATCGAGTTTATGTAATGCATTGAGACCCGCACGGTAGCTCAGTTGGTTCAGTGGTGGGAAATTTGGACCAAGTGACCAAGATTCGAAACCCGCAGCGGCCGTGTGGAAGTCACATAATCTGAAATAAGGTTGGGCCTCTAGTGCGCACGGGAAAAAGGCCTACCATCATTGGGCCGACTGAGTCACCGTGATTAACATCTTCCCAAAAATCATGTCGGGTCGGAGTATGGGAGACTCCTGGGGTGGAAGATTCCACCTTTTGGACCAAATGTAATGCATCAAGACTTTCCTCACCTAGAAAGTCACGACCGCAACACAACTCTTCAACCATCCTTTTTAATGAAATGTCCGTACATGAAACACCGAGCACTGACCTTGCCCCCAACTTTTCACTGGCTCCTCACTTTAAAGGGTCAGTAACTCAGTATTATACGGAGTATTTCTTGGAACATTTCGAGTTTAAACTGTTAGATACTCCGTATTTTTTATGGACTTGTGATTCAAATTATACTCCCTCCGTCCCGAAATAATCGTTCTGTTTTGATTTTCACACAGATTAAGAAAATAAAGTTGACTTCACACTGTAGCGATACTGTTTGGCACTGTAGCGATACTGTTTGGCACTGTAGCGACACTGTTTGGCACTGTTTGACACTGTTTTATATAGATTTGTTTACCAAATAAGGAAATGAAACAATTATTTCAGGACGGACCAAAAAGGAAAGTAGAACAATTATTTCGGGACGGATGGAGTACACTTAATATAAGGATTCTATGTTTTAAGTGCTCTCTCTCTCTCAAACATGTAGTATAAAGTTTTTGATTAATATAATCTCCCACGGGATGAATGCTAACATACCTGTCAATATGTCACTATTATGAGAATCATTCATGAATTTGCAGAAATATGGTTCACAAAAAAAAGCAGTAAAAAAATGAAAGATCAAAGTAAAAATTTATATTTATATATATATCAGATCATTTTTCTTTCAAAAATCATTTGACGATCTTCCCGATTAAATTTTTTGCTCAAATTTGGTATGAATGATCTAGACTTGATGAGGAACATACACACAAAATTTCAGCCAAAAATATCACCGGTTCCTTGGGGTTCCCTATATATATATATATACTTTGTATTTTTCTTCACTCTTCATCTTTATGATATAAATAATAATTTTGACATGAAAAATACAAATTTAGCATATATAGTTTTAACTTTTACACATCTTATACATTCATTATGATAAAGTTAGCTAATACGACATATTTGTATATGTGATGTTTTGTACTCTACATGTATGAAAAGATATTTGGCAATATATAATAATAGCAAATTGCATTTATATTTTTTATTGCATGATTCATTTGAATAAAATTGTGAATATTACAACATTTGCACCACTGACTCATTTAGTTTTCTTTGAATATTTTATGTGATATTATTAATGTTAATCAACTATAAATTTATTTTTTGTGAGAAGTGAATCTTTTTCTAGTGATTGAAAAGATGTTAGAAGTTTTAATTTATACGTAGTAATATTTTGTTATTTATTTTTCTATCTTTTATTTCCTTTTACATTTTATTTAAATAATAAATAAAATTAGATGAGGTGGACTACTACTGTCATTTTCCAATTCTAAAATATAGAACTTGTTCAAATAAAATACTAAACATAAGAAACCGAATCAAATCGAACTAAATTGAACATAATAATTTTTACTTTGATAAACCGATTACAAACCGAACCGAACCGAAACCAAACCGAAACAAAGGTGGTTTTAGTTTGGTACATATTCCCCCAAACTGAAACCGAACCAAAACCGAAAAAAACCGAGTCGTAAACCGAATTGCCAACCCCTAGTTTTCAGAATGATCCGAGATTCCGAGTACAATAAATATTTTTTTTGGAAGCAGGTGGTTTATATTAATAAGAGAGAACGTAAGCAGGGTACAAACAGACAAAGAACACATAGTCTACCGTCTGCCCTTGAACCAGACTTAGAATCTGCCACCTCTAATGAAGCACCCAGATTCGCTGATCCTAAATTGGGCTTACTTGAGTCAATGACTAGTAAACTAAGTTCCTCATCACCTGTCCTAGGTTCTAGAGTCCTAACAAAATTAAAAGAGGCTAACATCCCAAACAAACTGATAGACCTAACAACCAAAACGATAATAAGAAACCAAATGACAAAATAATAATAACTAATACGAAAACTATCACGGACTCTAGAATCTCGTACAACCCATGGCGGTGGTTCAGGAGGAGGCCGTATCATTGGTACCACTCTAATTGAACCTCCATTCGAATCTCGAATCTGGCCTATTCGAATCTCATGCAACTCTCCTCGTCCCACATACTTCTCACCTGGGCTCTCCTCCTTCGCTTCATGCTGGCCACCGATTATCTGCTGATTCGAGCCATTTGTCGCCATCTGCTATCCTCTGCTTTTGTTCGCCTTGCACGAGCCGCACCAGATCGGCGAAAATGCCAAACCCTACGAAGAGGGAAGAGACCGCCGTTTGGGAAAAACCCTCCGAGTACAATAAATATTAAAATTAAAATATTAATTCATGCTCCGTACGTAGTATGGAGTATGTACTTGTGATGGTAACAGATTATTTAATTTACCTTATTTTGTGGAGAAACCCCAGAAAAATTGCTATCCCATCAAGTGAGACGACAAAAATAAAGAAAAATATAATGACGCTCCATTTTGCACATTCAGACATTCAGTTGTTGAACACGTTTTGGATTGAAGAATTAAAATGGGTAGCTAATAAGAACCATTTTCATTGCTTAAGTGGGATTGTGGGAATGACAATACGTAGGGTTGAAGACTCTTATTTACCCAAACACGTGATTAAAAAAGTCGCGTTGATGTAAAAGATGGAGTAAAGTTGGTGGACTCGGGCCGGGCCAACCGGCCCGGAACCGGACCGGCCCGCTACTGTGCAAGCACGGACCGGCCCGCTACTGTGCCCGGTTCAGGCCACCCGGCCCGGTAGGATGGCGGTTGGGGCTCGGGCTCTTCAAAAGGTGAACCGGCCCAGCAGGTTCAGGCCCGGGCCGGGCCAAATTTTTTTTTTTGAATTTTTTTAAGTTTTTGGGTTGGGCTGGGTATTTTGGGCCATTTGAGGTGGTTAGGGTTGGTTTGGGGTGAGGGGGAAGGTTGGGGGTTAACTAGGAAAAGCCAAAAAAAAATAGAACCGAGTCCCGGCCCGGCCTTGCCTGGCCCGGACCCGGGGATTACCCGGGCCAGTTCCGGGCCTCCCCTTCATGAACCGAGGCCCGGCCGGGCCCAAACCGGAACCTGTCCATCCCTAACTACTTGGGCATAATTTATCAAAAACATGGAAACACAACTTACAAAGTATAAAAATTGAAGCTTGTTTTCACCTTAGGGATACTTTATGTTGACACAAATGATGTGATTCAGCATTTATCATGAATCTACTGTGCTGCTTAATGCATTCTCAAATGAATCATTGAATCCAAGCCATCACTGAGTATGTGAAGATAAAAGAAGTCAACAATGAAGATAAAACAAGTCAACAATGAGTCTGATTTATGACTTTGAGAACAAAGTTGTTGAACAATGTCAAGTGTCAGCATAGACATGGGAGTGAAAAAAGGTCACTCAAAGTAACCGAGACAGAGAAATAAAAAAGAGCTCGCTCTACTTGTAGTAAACAGAAACCAGAGGGATATCAATGTCATCACCATTATCATCCTCACAGGCCACCACGACATCCAAGTGGCGGCGATATGGCGGCAACTCCAGCTTGGCAACATCCCTTGCCAAGTCAACAATCTTCTTGTCCATCCGATCCCTGTGCCTGGGGAACATCTGGTTGTAAAGCAGGCAGCTACCACATGAAATACTGTACGCATTCAGCCCCTTCTCTTTCAACCAATCAATGAGCTGATTGAGAGTTGGGTTGTCCTTGATAACCCATCGGTCCCAAACAGTCCATTTCATATCTCCATGCTGGATAACCTTTGGTGGAACTGGTTCAGCCATCGAGAAAAGAGGCAGTGCAAGGTTGGCAAACGTGTTGCGATAGTCTTCCACCTTGTGCCCCCCGGCAAGGACCTTGTACAGTTCAAGACAAACCAAGCCAGTAGCCATCGCTGTGGAGGTAGCAATGGCAGGAATAATCCTCCCAGCAATAAATTTGGCTTTCAGCTTGTCCACTTCAGGTATGCTGTAGTTTCTAGCCCTCATGTTAGCAAGACCAGCAATGAGATCCATATGGTAGTTTGTATCATCATCCTGCTTGACATAAATCAGAGTCCATCAATAAATAAACAAAACCATTTTCATGTGTGAAATTCATAATAGATGCTTTATATATAAATGAAAAAACACAAAATCAATATAGGAGAGAAAACCCCACTCTTGGTCCCATAGGGTTATAAAGTTAAATTCAATTCAGGTCCCCAGCTTTTATATTTTTCTCACTTTAGATGCACGACTATTGATTCCTAGTCACTTTTGGTCCTGTTATTATTTTGTGGGACAAGTGATCTGAACTGAGACCACAAGTAGAAAAATGCAAGAACAGAAACAAAAGAGCGAGGACCAAACATGTAAAAATGGTCCTACAGTCGTGTGACCAAAAGTGGAATATTTTTCTTAAAGTAATTACTGGGACCTTCTCAAATTGAATAGGTTTCATCTTGAAGTCTGAGGGTAGATTCTCCCGACACTGCTCCAGCTTCCTTATGAGTTCGTTGATAACCACAGAGTCATCAATTGAAGCAGCTGAAAGACTGGTAGCCTTCTCATCTGTCACGATTTTCACACCTTCCTTGGGTTTAAACTCGGGGACAATGATCCTATCAACAGCTTGAGCCAGTTCCTTTGGTTGTGTGGCCCAGACTGGGATGGGGATTCCAAATGTCTCAGCACGCAATATGGCAGCTGCCATGATAAAATGGAGATGGCTCTGATCTTTTGAAGAGTACTGCAGGGGTTGAGGAAAACGCTTGGGTGCAGACCAGAAAGGGGCTCCAGTACTTGTTGCAGCATCCTCAGGAAATGTGAATATCAATTGTTTGACACGGTTCGCAAAGTAATCTTCAAACCTGGGGGGTTAAGCTAGGTCAAAAACTGCAGGAGATAATTCTTTAGGGTATGCTTTGATCCCATAAAATGTTGGGGACAGGCAGAATACAAAGGAAAACTATCTGGTTATGTTTGATTTAGCATCAGCAAATGAGGAAAATGATACATAATTACTGTTTTTTCTAATTAGAGAACTATTTATTTATTAGACTTCATATGATATAGGAAGTACATAAATAATACTACCTCCGTCCCAAAAAACTTTTCCATTTTCAAAACTTTTGACAAATTATATCTTTTTATTGGAAATTATTTATAATATACCACCTCCGTCCCTTAAAACTTTGCCAAAGTTGACCGGCACATAGAATAATAAAGTAAAAACTGTGTGGTTGAGGTTTGTGCAGAGGAGAGAGAAATAACAGAAACCACAAAATAATTGATTAAAAGGGAAAGTGGCAAAGTTTTTTGGGACGTCCCAAAAAGGAAAGATGGCAAAGTTTTAAGGGACGGAGGGAGTAAAAATTATATGAAAATGTTCTTTGTTAAAAGTACTTTCATAAAGTATAAAATTTATAACTTCCATAATCTTATACTAATCAAAATCATGGTTCAATTTTTTTAAAATGGCAAAGTTTTTTGGGATGAATGTAGTAGGTAAATGAGTTCAAACAGATATTAAACAAATTTATTGAGTTTGAATCTCTTTTGACCATATATTTTCGTCCTCCAATGTTTTCTAGGGTTCTGAACGAACCCATGGGCTCGGTTTGGACTGTTAAATATGGTAGGGAACGAAAAGGCTACCAAGACAAATGGTTTTGATCTCATTAAATACAAAAGAAAAATTAAATTTGATTAACCCTGTGTTGGATTTAATAAGATGCTAGGAAATGAAAAGAAAACGTAGGGAAGTTCGCTTCTGAAGGTTTGGTTTACCTCAAAAAATGAGAAGAAAAATGAAACACAAGGAAGATGACATCTGATTAATATGTTTCAGCTATTCACATATGTTTAGATTGCTCAGTATATATACAACACATGAATCTATAAAAATTTATGAGTCTTATATTTATTCAGTATATATACACCCTTGCAGTGGGAACCTTCCCTGACCCTGACCATGCGGGGGCACCCATGTGCACCGGGCTGCCACTTATGAATAAATAAAAAAGAAATCAACCTAAATTTAATATATAAATTTATTGAGTTTGAACCAAAAAATTATTTTTCCTCCCATTTCTTTCATCCCGAATCTCTCCTATGTTTTCCTCCCTATTCTCTTTCACTAGCATTTTCCGCATTCCAGACAGACACTAAAGCTTTTCAGAACTTTTTAATATACAAAGTAATATGCCAAATATTCATTTATTGAGTTCCAAGCAATTTTGTATTATCTAGCATTTTAATCCATTTTACTTTAGCATTTTCCGAATTCCAAACGACACTTGGAAAAGCAAGAAAAGAAGCACTTCATAAAGGTGTTAAGAGATTAAAAAGGGGGAAATGTTGGGTGCATACCTGTGGCGTGCCCATGAAATGCAATTTTCAAAGGTTTTACATCTTTCCTTGTCAAGACACTCAAGAACACGTTCCAAGTTATCTCTTGCTTGAGCATCACCAGATTTTGTCTGTGCAGATGTGTACTCGCTCGGATTAGTGAGATAAGCATTTGCTTCGGCTGGTGTCTTTTCAAGCAGACCCTCAAACTCTGAACGAGCCCAAGTCAAGCAATGGTCAATGTTGTGTGGAAAAGAGTGCACAGTGCACATTGGTGCTTGTCTCTCCGGAGGATCACGTGATGCACCATAGTTTTCCGTCAGGTGTGGGATGACCATTTGAGTGTTACATTTGGCACCAAGAGTTCCCGACTCAAGAAGTGGCTTCTGGAAATACAAGCATCTTTGATCAACATAAAGCCTTGCATTAACATTGTCAAGGGCATTCACAACAACACTAAGATTCTCCCAAAAAGTATCATCAAACACGTTTTCAGTCTCGGGACCCACACGGTTCTGGAGAGCTTCAATATTAAACTTGGAATTTATTGATGTAGCGGCAACAGCAGCAACAGTAGATTTAGCCTGGCCAATGTTCCAATCACGGAAGAGAAACTGTCGGCTAAGATTACTTTTCTCTATCACGTCATCATCAGTTACTGTTAGCTTTCCTTGACTGCTGCAAGAAATTCCCATGAGAGCTAAGTTCTTTAGAAACTCGCATCCCAATGCACCAGATCCGACAACAAACACTGTGGCTTCTTCAAGCTTCTTTTGAATTTTTTTCCCAAAAACTGAAATTTGTGCATCATACCGACTATTCAAAGGCATGAAATCAATAGCTTCCAGTGTCTCAGTTGGAAGCGACTCCACTGAGTCAAAGTAGAAGAACTGCACATTGATATTTGAAGTAAAACAGTCAGTTTAATTAAACACACAAGGAAAGAAGATTAGTACTTCTATAACTTTTACAGTTACTTAGACTTTTTAGCGTTTACATGATATAAAAAAATAATACAATGAATTCTACCCTATCTTTTATTTTTACCCAAAATTTCGTTCTTTCCAACTTGTCCCTCTGTTATTTCACAAGTATGTCTCTAAATCAATTTTTGGAACTCGGATGAGTAGGTAAAGGAAGACCGAGTGATGCAGACAAGTTGAGAGGTGGATTATAGGAATCAGAACTGATATGCTTCTTCTTGAGTTGGATGAGAGTATGGTTTTAGAGAGAGCAAACTGGAGGGCGAAAATTTGTGTGGATGATTGATCTATTTTGTCTCTCTTATTCTTTTATCTGATTATCTGTTTAATCTTTCTTATGTTCTTATGTTACTTTTATCTTATATTTATCTTTATCTTTTCCGTTTTATCTTACCTTTTTTTATTTTCCTTATCTTTCTTTCTTGTGTGGCTCCGATGCCATGGATCGATTCATGTTAGTCAACCCCAAAATCTTTTGGGAATAAGGCTTGGATGTTGTTGTTGTTTGGATGAGTAGGTAAAAGAAACTGCTACAGAAAACAGTTTTACATATGTGGTTTAACATTAGATAGTGCAAAAAGAAAATCAAGTTCAACTTGAATTTTTCAAAAACTCATATAGTTAGATTTAGCCTTTATATAATAGAACTATCGAGATAGGATGAGTTTGAAGGAAAAAAATATGTAATTGAACTTTGGAATCTATAGCATTTTTGTTCCAACAACATAAATTCCCTTATATTTTTTCTCTTCAATTTCCTCCTGATTTCCTTCCCCTATAGCGCTATATGGGTTCCAAACAGACCGTAAAAGTATAGAATGAGAATCAAAACCTGAAAAAGAGGATGAAACTTTCCAGAGCAGGCCTTTACAACCTCCTGCCCAACAATACCACCAAACATCGCAGCCATGGGATTAAGTATAGCACGAGCACCAAAGGAGAAGCTTCTAAGAAGCTTTGTATCAACATTTTCAACTTTTGAATCTCCAGCACTTTCATTAATACCTTTGGCAATAGAGATAAGTTTAACTGCATCATCTTCAGACCCAGCAATGGGAAAACGATCAAAGTCAGACCTGAACTGATCTAGTGCTTGAAATGCTAAATGCAGAAGTGGAGGGCGGTCGAACTTCGAGAAATCGCTGAGAAGAAAATCTCCAGGATCCTTAAGAGCTTCTCGCAATGGTTTGAAGTTCAAAACTTTTGGTTGTTTTACCTGAGTAACAATGCCACCCCTTTCATAAGCACCAAAATTTGTTGAATCTTCATCAAGTGTGAAAGAGTAAGGCCTGGAGGATAGAATCTTTCTTGGCTTTCCATCATTCAATTCTGTCATGCCCCGAATTTCAGAGAAGACAACTAAATCCCCATCCTGAAACTCAAGTCTCTCATCATCAACACAAGATACTTGGGCAGGGCTATCATTACTGACTGAAGCAATGATGCCCGTATGGGGTTCCTCTCCGTCAACATCAAAGACTGTGAATTGGGGACCAAAATCACAGAACACACTACCAAAAAGGCCTCTAACATCCGCTTTAATGAATGCTATAGGTGGTTGATGAGTATGACAATAATTGTTAAACTCAACTGCTTCTCCTAAACTTATATCGGTGAACACCACAGCCTGCAAAAAAATCATTGTTATCAAAAATTAGGGTTATATAATGAAGTACTACCTCCGTTCTTATAAGTAGAACATGTTAACTTTATAGACTATTCATATGTTCTACTTTGACTGCATTTTATTAATTAATTTAATAAAGAATATATTTTTTAAAATATTGTTAAATCTGTATCATTCTAAATTTTCAAAATCTAATTGTTTTTAAGTTTTTACTAAAAGAGAACTAAATATATTAATGGCCAAATTGTGCATCGGCAAACGTGAAAAGTGGAACGTTGCACTTATTTAAGAACGGAGGTAGTATTCAAAGAACAATAGGATAACTTCATCTTGACAGGAATACAGAAAATAGTGTTGAATTGGGTGAATAAAAGATCACTACACAGCAAATTTTTATGATGGCCTATTGAGAAGTCCAAGAAGCTAAAGTCAGGTTATTATAAGCTTTAAGCACCATCACTAAGTCAACCAACATTAATCACACAATCAGTTTCTCCACATGGATGCACAGGAAGCAACATATCTGAATGGATATATGAAAGTCAAACCAGAAATTCCATATGGAAAGATCTAAGGGTTTGTTTAGTGATATTTGACAAATGCATGTTGTATATATGATTTCATTTACATTATTTATAATGATATTATTTTTTTTATTGAAATTGAAACTTTAGATGTTCTACAATGGTATTATGAGATACATGTTTTCAAAACAAGGAAAACTAGAAATTACATGTTTCCAAAACTTCACAAAAAATTAGACTTTGAAAAAGAAAGACAGAGTTGCAAAGCGCATTTTGTTGTTTGTGCTTTCAGAAAACTGAAACAAAAAACAGAAAACATAATGGCATAATGCTAATAAGCGACACATAAGCAATTAGTTAGTAAAGGCTCAAATACAGAGTTTGCTCAAAACCAGGGGTTTCAGAGATAATTAATTAGAAGAAAATAAACCACCTGAAACTCAGAGAGTCTTTCTTTTGTTAATTTTGTGGTCAAGGTTGAGACTAGAACAGCATTGTTGAGTTCTTGGAGTTTCTGTACAGAAACAAGTGCCCTGTTCTTACCAACATCGGTCTCTGAGAATATAAAATTGCTTGACAAATCCCACAGCTCCACATTTCCTTCATCATGTAATGTGACAGACTTCACCCCAGCAAGGACAAGATTCTTGGCTGCAGTAAATCAAATTCAGAAATCTAAATGCACTTTAGCCAGGGTATATTGTACAAATAAAAGAGTATGCCTGCAGAGGCATTAAAAGTGAATGTTATATGAAGACATCCTTATGTGTCCGACATTTAGTAGCTGGAGTTAATGAGACTAACTTTCATTACCTAATTAATGTCCATCTAGACTTCAAATAAAAATTAAGAAGCTCCAACCAGAAATTAATATAACATAGACATGCTTACGCTTTGTATCTAGATAACACATATGGTTCATAGTTCATACTATTATGCACAGTGAACATTTCAAACAAGCAGCTACAATAACTAGAACAAAATGAGTAAATGACGCTTAAATTTGCACAATTTCTCTCAATAGGGACTTAGCGGATATACTGATTATAAAAGAAACAAAAAAAGTGAAGTAGATCTAGTTATCAAACTTACATATACAGCCATGCAAGCTACAAAAATGTGTGATACATGATACAATAGTAATGCATAATGTTGCAAGTAACTTCAAATTGTTAACTTAAAACCTAGTATGTATGAATTTATCAAAAAACTAAATTAGACTGAACAAGTACACTTATCCAAATCAATTGAAATGTGAATGCCTGTGCCTAATACCTCTCCGTTATATTAGCTATGGTAGCAACAAATCTACACATACCAAAATAACTTTAAAAGCACATTGCATAGTAGAAGAAGAGATGAGATGCTTAATGACTACTCCATGCTTAAAGGAAGTAGCAAAATTGCAGAGGAAACATCTATACTTATCATGGTTTTATTGCGTTACACTATACCACAGCAACAATAAATCAAAAACACCTAAAAAAGTGTCCAATAGCCCAAATTATACTAGATAGAGAGTTGAACAAAAGACCACCAAAGTACTACTTCAACAGAAACGGATATCAGTAATGGAATCAGAGAACACAATAATAACAGCACGACATACATATGAAAACCTTGGTCATTACCAAATAGGAGAGTGAAGTAGAAAATAAATGAGACAAATGAACAGAACCTTCTACAGAATTACTATTTCAATAGCTGATGAACAATCAGTACTATAACTGATGCAATACCACCAGTACAGTTAAGACAACCCTGATTTGAGGAATAGACTAAACTTTTGGGTACAAATTCATAATAATAATAACATAATGATGCCTTTGAGCAAAGAAATACGTACCAATCTCAGCCCCTAGGCCTTGCAGTCCAGAAACGAGAACATTTGAAGCAAAAAGACGACGCATTGTCTCCCGACCATAGACAGCAAGCTGCCTGCTATGGAGATCCTCGTCGATGTCGTGAGGATTACCATCATCATACGCCATGTCCTTCAGAGACGGTTCTCCAACACTCTTACTGGCGCTAGAGCAACCGTTGGTGGTGGAGCTTCTGTTCCCCGTGTTGTTGGTACCTGAGGACCCGCTAGTCTTTTCTATAGCTGCGGATGAGATCAAGCAACCGGTCCTCTGCTTCTTCACCAAGTTCTCCGGATCAACGCAAGTGTCTCTACCGTCAACAACCTGGCCTTCCACAGCTCTCTTTCTAGGAAGCATATAGTGCAACGAGCTGCTGAAACCTCCAAAAAAAGCCATGGAAATGATCAAAACTAGGAAACTGCTAAGCAAATTAAGATCCGAACAATTGAAACACACAAATATAGCAAAGATCGGCGCTATCAAAATAAAAAATCTCGTCATCGAAAATAGTGCCACCGCAATCGATTGATTCTGAAACGATCTACAAAGCAAAGAATATATAACAAGAAAAAAGAGAGTGAGAAAGTACCGGTTGGTTCTGAGGAAAAGAAAGGTATGGAATCGGAGATGAAGAAAGCTGTACAGTGAGGATTCGTGATCGAGGAACGCGAGTTTGGGTATGCTTTAGAATGTTAGCTCTGGAAGAAATGACTTGGTAAAGAATTTTCATAGGTGAGAGGGGGAAGGGTAATTAAGGGATTTGAACGGGAGCGGGTTAGGGTTTTTGGGAATAGAGATAAGTTCCTTATCGATGGCCCCTCTAGGCCTCCATGGAGACGGCGGTATTCATATGCGCAGAGATCTCAAGAGACAGAGAGAGAGACTAGGCGATGGACCATCACGATTAGGATGGGTTTGGATTTTGTACTAGTACAAAACACCCATGCTTTGAAATTGGTGAAAAAATCAAGTCTTTCACTAGTACTACCTTCATCCCTTAAAGCTTTACCAAAGTTGACCGGTACGGAGAATAATAAAGTAAAAACTGTGTGGTTGAGGTTGTTGCAGAGGAGAGAGAAATAACAGAAACCATAAAATAATTTATTAAAAGGGAAAGTGGTAAAGTTTTTTGGAATGTCCCAAAAGGGAAAGATGACAAAGTTTTAAGGGACGGAGGGAGTATTATTTTTAATTAATATGGATACATCATCACTTAAGTTTTTTAGCCCCTTTTGGTAACACTGGGTCGATTTTAATGAAAGTTATGAAGTTTTGGCTGAGATGACTATATTGGTTGATTCTGATGAAAATTATATTTAAAATATTAGTTATTAATAAATTCAATAAAAAATTATATGAAAAATAGCTAAAATGATCTTCTACAGTAAGTTCAGCCAATACAGCCAGAAAAGTAACTACAATCTTACTTTTTCTGCTTATTACAAACTTCAGCGCGCGAAATCAAAAATTGTGTGTTTGATGAAAAAGCTGGTTGATAAGCCCGAGAAGCCGAATAAAAAGGGGTCACCAAACGGGCTCTTTATATTAAAAAACTAGATAAGAATATTTATTAACATCTTAACCTGTTATAATCAGTGTTTTAAAAGACGATAAAAGGCAGGGCCTAGACGTGAAGTGACATGTAAGCGTTTCGCATAGTAGGAATAATAATTACTAGTACCTCATATAGGAGTAAAACAAAAGTCAAATGTAAAATAGGACCTCATATGTTTTTCCGCTAATAGGATCATCTTACTCATATTACTCAAAAATGTACTCATGCACTTATTTACCTTTCTCTTACCTCTTCTTTTTGCATCAGCTCAATCAATTCAGCCTTCACGCATCTCATCTTCTACCCTACTATCTACTCCACCGCATACAGCCGCTGACTTCACTGCACTCCTCTTCTCCGATGCATATCTAGGCATCGCCACCGACTACACCGCACGCCACCGCCATCCATTAGGTTTCTTCTTATTCTCCTCCTCCTCCTTCTGAGTTTTAACCTTGTTTTGTTGATTTTCGGACTTCTATTTCGTATTTCTGATTTCAGATTTCTTTAAAAAATGAATTCTAGTTTTTTTATGATGCCATGAAATTTTGCCAAATTCATGGTAGAAGTGTGTGCACTGACAATGACAATCATTTATAACAAAATAGATTGTGTGTAAATAGGTTTTTCAATTTGTTTTTCATTAGCTCCGTACATTGTTCTAAAAATCGGCCTAGTCCGGCCGATTAATCGGTCTAGTCCGGCCGATTAATCGGTCTAGTCGGCCCTACCAGTAGAGAACTAATCGGCCTAGTCGACCAAAAAATCAGCCTAGTCGGATGCCTAGGCACTAGGCGCCTCTCAACCCCCGCCTAGTGAGTTTTAGAACAATGGCTCCGCGTATCTGTTTTTCAATTGCCTTAACGTGTTTATTCCATTTAAAAACTTAGTTTTCAAATATTTGGTTGTTGACTTCATATGTTATCCAAACTTATGCCACTTTTATGTCATTTTTCAAAGATAAGTATGCCAACTTTTTGGCGGGCTTGAAAATTCATATCAATGGCAGACTTTAAATTATTCTTGAAGGCCAAATATGCCAACTTAATGACAGATTGATGGCATTGGCGTTGTGATGTGGTGGTGGCGTTGGTGCTCAAAGTTGTAGTAGTGGCCTTGACATTGACTCTAGCAGTAGTTTGCTAAAAGGCGGCGACGGTGACCAGCATGGGCGGCGACGATGGCGGAGGATGACAACGCTGGTTGGGATGACGCTGATGTGGGCAGCGAGAGATGGTGTCACCAGTGGGGGAGGCAGCTACGACGATGCTACTACATGTTGCGACTCACATTTAGGGTCAAAAAAACAATTTTATTTTTTAATTATAAATTGAAATAAAATATGATTAGGGGCATGTTTGTACAAGTAGATGATTTTAAGTCCTGTGAAACATAGATCATGTTTTTGGTTCTATTTGTGCACACGGCTCCTCTTTTAATCCTAAATAGGTAATGAATCATAGAAGAACTAGTATACTATCCGTGCATACGAACGAGAAATAGCAGTTGGCGCATATATTTTTACTCATGATATAATTATATATTAAAATGAAAATAACTTTTTAGTATTTTACATTTTCGAAAAAAGAGTACTATAAGCTAATACCATAAAGTATAAACACATACAATAAATATTTAATGAAGAGTATATTAGGGAAAATTAAATGACACCATTCAAGAGAATTTGCTACTTATTAATTTTCATGATTAAAGTAATTTTAAGAATAGATATTATTCTAAAAAAGTTAGTACAACAAGTGGATGACATAAAGTATATGTGACTAGAATAAATATTAAAATTAACGAATATTAGTTAAATAAAAACTTGCTACTCATTTGTTTTGATCATTAAAACATGCATCTATTCATATATAAGTTTCAGGATCATTACATCAATCAAAGGAAAAACAAAACCGACATCAACTAAACTCCAACAACTACGATTGTAAACCCTATGATCAGACTTAGAGATGGTCACCCCTGAAAGAGCAACATGAATCGCTAACCATGTAGTGGGATTGACACAACCATTCTTGTTCTCATAGATCCAAACATACTCAATGACATAAAGAAAGGTTAAATTCTCAAACAAACTGACAAAACCAACAACATAACCGGTAACAAAAATCCAAATGACAAAATAATAAAAACTAAAAGGAACACTTTCACGGACCCTACCCCCCTCGTACAACCCATGGCGGTGGTTCCGGAGGAGGCCGTACCCTTAATACCGCTCTAATTGATCCTCCACTGTCGATCGAAATCTGGACCTCTCGAAGCCCGCACAACTCCCCTCATCCCGCACTCGTAGCGAAATCACCGCTAGCGGTCATCTTCTTCGCTACCAAGCCATGTGATGCATTCATCTTTCCTTGCTACCTTGCCTTGTTGCTTTGCGGCGCCCCAAGCAAAACTCTCGTGGCCGCAACCCTCGTGAGCGAAGGTGAGATTACCTGCAACCCTCGTGGTCGCACCCCCGTGGGAAGCGATAACCTGCAAAAGAAGAGAAAGAGCAACACAAACAGCAACCTTCGTGGCCGAAGGAGAAGAATCGCCGCACCAACCTACACCAAAGCTAGATGGTGGTAAAAACAACACTAGGAGAACCCTAGACCAGACCGCACGTTTCGTTTATATCTTCATATTCAAGGAAGGCAGATTGAGACCGATTGAATGCTGTTGGCCAAAGAAGAACTCTGGCCTGCTACTCGACAGTGGCGTTTGGCGGCACCTAGGGTTGGCCGAGCATGCCCCAGCTCCACTCGAATTATGATACTCCGCTCAATCAGCACTCACTTGCTACTCATTAGTTAAATTACTACTAACATATGAGAGAGAAAATTATTCCGCTCAATTGTTAGCTGGCTTATCTTATAACTAAAAGAATTACATATGAGACTAAATTCTTCCGCTCAATTATTATAAGAAAATTTCAGTTTTATTTTTTAATTATAAATTGAAATAAAATATGATTAGGGGCATGTTTGTACAAGTAGAGAATTTTAAGTCCAGTGTAACGTAGATCATGTTTTTGGTTCTATTTGTGCATACGGCTCCTCGTTTAGTCCTGTGAAAGACATGAAAAAGACGGTCAACTAAAGATTTGATCACCAGAGGCGTGAATATATGTAAGCTTAGGCACGAAAGGCGAGAACTAGGCGCGAAAGGGTGGAAATTTTTTAAATGATTTTTTTACAAAAAAAAGTTGATCAAATATAAAAAACCACTTTTATAAACATGATAGATATGAAATCTAATATAAAGTATAAAAAGAATAATGTATCAATTTATATTTTTACGTTTGTACATTTAAATATTATATATATTGAACAAAGTTCAAATTAGACTCAACCTTTTCTAATAATATTTGGATATTTTTTTTTCATCATATATCACTATAAAATAGCAATTATCAATGGAAATCTAAAACGCATTTTCACGGTTAGATTTTGTCTATCCCTGCATAGACTCCAAAGAATAGAGGAATGAGATTCCCACACCTCGTTCCTTTTAGAACACTAGTTATAACATATAATTTTCTCGAAAAAATAAACAATTGATAAATTTGATTAAAAAATCATATAAATATGAAAATATTGTGATAATACTATAATTACATATTTATAAGTAGAAGAAAGATTGTTTAAAAAAATGTGACTGGTGACAATAGTAGTAATTTATTCTTAGTAACTTATGTTCAATTTTTAAATTTAAGTGACTATGACACTATATTTGCAGTAACTATTAGTCATATTTATGTAAACAAGTTTTATATTAATAACATTTTTGAAAAAAACCCAAATAATATTATAAATTAAAAAATAGATAAATATTTTTAAATGTTAAAATAAAAAAAATTATAACAATGAAAAAATAGAGTAAAATTGAAAAATAGATGTATTAAGTTTTAAAAAGATGTAGGATATACAGAAAATTAAAAAATATAGATTTTGACATTCTTAAATTGTCCATAAATTTTATTTAAATTTCTTTGAGTTTAAACAAATTCTTAAAAAAAAATAAGTAAAAGCTTGCTAATTCAGGTCAAACTCGATTAAAAGGCCAGATTGATCAACCTTTTAAAGTAAGCATACTTATATTATATTTTTTGAATATGGGAGCTTAAGTGATAGATTGAAAATAGTAGACAATCTATTTGACCCTTTTTCTCTTTGAAGTTTGAACTACAATATGAAAAGTTTGATGGATTATTGTTAATAGATGGCCATTTTTATTAAAATTAATATGGTTGCCTATCAAAAGAATTTTTTATCATTAAGACATTAAATATTAATAATTAAATAAAAATACCTTATAAATTAAAAGGTATTATCCCATTACGTATCACTCATTTACGATTGTTGTTTTTCCCTTTGGAACAT